TTACCCCTTAAGTCAATCTGCCCATGCTAGGTATTAGTCCAGTAATCCTTCTCAGAATTACTTTCAAAGCTTCAACATCTGTCCATAAGTATGGTGACCAGTACCCCTGATGTAGTCTCACTAACACCCTGTATAACTGAAACATAACCTCCCTCCTCTTGCATTCACTTCCACCTACAATATAACATTGCATTCTGTTAGCTTTCCTGATTGTGTTGTACCTGCATACTAACCTGTGATTCAGGAAGGATGACCTGAATCCTCTGGAACATTCCAGACATTGAATTCCATTGTGGAACTGAGACACCCAGCTCTTGCTCTCGCTGCCGTTCACCTGCAACCCCTCTGATTCACCTAATGCCTTTCATGGAAGGAAATAGGCCATCCTCACCTGGTCTGGCCTACGTGTGATTGCAGGGCCACAGTAATGTGTTTTATTCTCAAGTGTCTACTGAAATGGCCAAGTAGGCCACTCAGTTGTATGAAATACTACGACGTCTCAACAAAGAAATGAAACTGGATGGGCAACCTGGCATCGACAACAGCAGAAAGTGTTGTTGACTTTGCACCGTCCTCTTTGGTGACATTGGGGGACAAGTGCCAAAATTGGCAGAGCTGTCTCAGACTAGCTGAGCAACAGCCTGTCTTTGTCTGTGAGGTATGATTCTGTGGCTATGATGATGTTCTGGGTGTCACCGCCATCCCTAGATATGTCCTGTCCCACCAGCAGAGGTATACAGTCAGGAGAGAATTGCCCTGGGAGTTGATGTTGACTTTGAACTCCATGAAATCTCATGGTATTAAGCTAAACATGTGCTAGGAAATGTTGTTCTATTACCACGTATAGTTTTCCTCATTTGAAGAATCAGTACTCCTCCAAGTTGAACAACACTTGAAGAAAGCACAGAGGGTGGCAAGATACAAGACCTAATCTGGGTGGGAGATTTCTGTGTCCACGACCCAGAGTGGCTTGACCGTAGCACTACTGATCAAGCCAGTTGGGTCCAAAAGGACACTTGCTGCTAGACTGGTCCTACAGCTGGTGGTGAGGAAACCAACAAGTGGGGAAAAACATATTGCTCAGGACGAGATCCAGTATCTGCCAGTTGCAGCTGTATCCGTCCATGTCCAAGGTGGTAAGATTGACCACTACACTGTCCATGAGGCGACCAAAGTTTCACTTTCACATTGAGGTCACATAACGTGATGGAGGGAATTCTATTAGCATGCTAAATGAGATGGACTTCAAACAGATTGAGTAACTCAAGACTGGTATCAGTGAGGTGCTGTAGTTCATCAAAAGCAACAGCATTATACTCCAGCACAACCTGCGGCCCCATGGCTTGGCATATCCCCCACTCAACCATGACCGTCAAGCCAGGGGGTCAAACCTAGTTCAATGGAGAGTGCAGGAGGGTATGCTGGGAGCAGCACCAGGCATACCTAAAAATGAGGGGTCAACCTGGTGAAGCTACTAAACAGAACTGCTTGCCTGCCAAACAGCATAAGCAGCAAGTGAAAGTGCTAAGTGATTCCACAGCTAATGGATCAGATCTAAACTCGGCAGTTATGCCGCATCAAGTTGTGAATGGTGGTGGACAATTAAACAAGTCACAGAAGGAGGAAGCTCCATTAATATTTCCATCCGCAATGATGGAATAGCCGAGCACATTAGCGCAAAAGATAAGGCTGGAGCATTTTCAACAATCGTCGGCAGGAAATGCTGAGTGGGTGACCCATCTTAGCCGCCTCCAAGTAATTTTTTTCTCATTGTTTCACTTTTATTGCTAATTGTTTTTATAAATGTTTTATTTTCATAATTCTACACAAATTCATGTTGATTACATTTCTATTGTTTTTTGTTCTTAACAAAGCATCCATTGTATAATTGTAACATGAATGATATTTTTTGATTTGGTTTGGTGTAGCATTAAACTCCAATGAAACAGGCTTAATTTTTTACCATGGAATCTCAAAAATCCAAAGGTTACAGTTCATATAAATAACAGTCTCTGCAGAGTTGTACCTGTTAATATTTTGCAGAGCCAAGTCTAGGCTCAGTGGCTTTTTGTTTTCCCCATCATAGAATGTAGAAGTATTGCAATTTTGGGGTATAAACCTGATCTGGATCACAGTTTTCTCTTTTGTACTTACATAGATTAATTTTGAAGAAAAATCACAAGTACATAAAGGTCTAAATCAGTTGTGTATATTGTTTGCACAGGGGGAGAAACCTCAAACAAACAAAACTTTGGAATTTTGATTTATCAGAACTTCTCTACAATTGCAAAAGTGAGGCATTTTCTATTTATGGAGGAAACTTTTTTTTGCTCATTTTTGAGGGACTGAGTGGGTCTGACAATTGAACAGATCCTTGTACTTTGCCAGAAAGACCTTTTTAGATGGTGGTTACTAAAGACTTTAGACGTTGGCCTTGGGTGCTTCAGTGCATCCCTCAGCAAGTAGTCCTGGACCTTTGGAATGTGCCAGTCTGCAGCATTTGGTTGAGGTCAACTCTCTTCGGCAGACCAAAGAGCCTCTATCACTGAATTGATGATCCTCCCAGATGCAGTCTGTTTGTCTTGGTGTGATACTCGGGCAACAGCCCATAGAGCACAGAGTCCTGCGTCACAGAACTGCTCAAGATGAACCTTGACAAAAACCACTGCATCTTTCTCTAGACATTGTTTATAAAGGCACATTCCAGAAGGAGACGTGTAACGGTCTCTTCACCAGCACAGCTGCTTTCAAGGCAGCATGTGGGGACCAGAGAATCCGGGTGAATGTTAAGGATCTGATGGACAGTGCCCTTCTCAACACCAACCAAACTATGTCTTAGTGCTTGTGATGAGGCATTCTACCAAATTACTGACACCACAGTAATTTTTTTTGAAATTACCAACAAAGCTTATCATTCACATGAAATGTCTATCGTTCTAGGTAAAAGTAGAACAGGCTTGACTGGGTGGTCTCTACCAACTGTTCTTAGTAGATCCTAGCAACTTTGTGACGACAGATATTAGGCTTGTTGGTCTACATTTCCCTGGTTGCTCTTGTGTCCTTTTTTTTTTTGGAAAAAGTGACTGACAGTGTGATTCTCAATCCAAAGGAACACGTCCGAACCAAAGAACTTTGCAAACACCAAAGCTACAAATCTTCCAGTGTTCTCAACTATTTACTTTCAAACCCAAGGAAAGAAACCATCCGGTCCCAGGGATTTGCTGCCATTAACTTTGTTGCACTCTTGACTCAGTGCAAGTTTCTTTTGCATCTCTCAAATAGAAACCTCCTTTCTTTATTCTCCTTCAGTTGCTGATCCAACGTAATCATTTGGCATGTTTTCCATTTCCTTTATTTTGATTGGCAACGTTATTGTGATAAGGTTTTAAGGATGACACGTTGCTTCTGGCCACCCTTCTGATTTTATTATCGTGGTGTAAATTTTGATATGCATTCTACCAAAATACTTTGACAGTCTGCTCAGGAAACTGCAACCAGATCCTCCCCCACTTTTTTTTTTTTCTTCCCCACAGGGTCTGTAGGACACTGCGGTGACCATTGCCTGATGGACTTGGACTTGTAGTTAATGGTGTTTTTCTTTGAAACTTCTTCCACGAGGCACAGGCGATACAGCACAATTCAAACGACTTGGAGTATTCCATGGCAACGAGGCCAGATCCAAGCTGTAACACTGGGGACAGGTGGAGCCTCAGTTCATAATGATACTTGGTGTTTCAGTACCACGGGTCTATACACAGCTTGATGCAACTGCACACAAGCTAGCCATCAGGATGACGGTGGCATTAGGTATATGGTTCTCCACCCCTCCCTCCCCAAAATTATCTAGTGTTTTGCACATGATGTCTCTGCAGACACAGTCCGTCTTTGACCTTCAGATGAAGTGGAAGATGACTCGGTGACTGCAGCTGGCTTGGGGAATAAGCGAGACCTGCACAATGTTCTGCAATACTGACAATATTTCAAATCTGATAAGCAGGTTTTTACCTGCAGTGGAGAGGGATCAGTGCTTCCAAATGCCCAGTTTCTGCCTCAATTTGGCAACATGCTGATTCTAAGTGTGGTGGTTGTTGTTGTGTGTTGTGTTGTTTTTTTTTTTTTTTTTTTTTTTTTGCGCACCGGCCAGCCCCTCCAAATTATGTTCCCAGCACTTTCAGGTAATGTGGCCTGACGATGAAAGATCAGTCAACCCAGTTCCCAAAGATCGTGGCTCCCAAGGCCAGTTGGAACTGGGCATGGTTGCTGTTGAGTCTATGTACACAGATGGTGAATCTGAGCAGGAGATGACTATGTCGCACATGTTCGAAGGAGACTTTGACCTGCAGGCCTCCACTGCCTGGAATTGTCACACTTTTGGGCTTGTGTCCATCTGGATGGACTTGGCAAAAGATTCTGTATGGTACAAACAAGGCAGGAGAGAGTGGCAGCCCTATTTGACTCCAGAACTGATTCGCACTGACGATTGAGACTGCTCTACACCAACATCATTGGTGCAGTCTGATCTAAGTGTGGATTTCATCCCTAAAACCTGTTTTTGGAGGACACTTCCCTGATGTAAGAGTGCGATATAGTGTCAAGGGCCATCTCCTGGCTCAGACTGATGAGGCAGGTGTCCATCCTGCCCTGGCCTGCATATAGGCAATCATATGGCATTCTTTCTGGAACAGTTGCCCCTTTTGGTTTTGCCATTTGTCTACTAACTAATCAGCCCAACTTGTTGTGGGCAACTTGAGTGCATCACTTTTTAAGTCAGCTTACCTGAATCTAGCACATTTTTGGCTTTTTGTTTTTCTTTTTGAAGTACTATGTTGAACTCCACCATATTACGGTTGCCAGTAGATGCGTGTTTGTGCATCATTAGTCTGTTAGCTGAATTTGACTCATTCCTAAATCCAACTATGGCAAACCTTTATTCGGCCTTGCACATTGTTGCAGTAAACTACTCTAGGCACAGTGACTAACCCTAACCTTTTCTGATGTAGATTGGAACAGACACAATAACGTGGAAAACTTGATCGACTCCACTCTGACCATGACTATTAAAAACACTATGCAACCATGAAATATCGGAAGAATCTCGGCATTTAAACAAAACACTGCTTCAAGGTTACTTGGCATTGTTTCGAAACTCTGCTTTTGGCACTGCAAGTAAAGGGAGAACTGAGAGTGTTATTGTACTCTTTGTGCTTCAAGTTCTTGACTATCACAGACGTGAAGTGAATTTTCAACCAATTCAGTTCATTGCATTATTAAAATGTATGGCTGAACACATTGGCCCAAGGCTTTGCTGTATCCATGTCAACACCCTGACAATTGCACTAGGGATAGTAGGAACTGCAGATGCTGGAGAATCTGAGATAACAAGGTGTAGAGCTGGATGAACACAGCAGGCCAAGCAGCATCAGAGGAGCAGGAAGGCTGACGTTTCCGGCCTAGACCCTTCTTCAGAAATGGGGAGGGGAAGGGGGCTCTGAAATAAATAGGGAGAGAGTGGGAGGCGGATAGAAGAGGGATAGAGGAGAGGATAGGTGGAGAGGAAACAAACAGGTCGAAGAGGCGGGGATGGAGCCAGGAAAGGTGAGTGTAGGTGGGGAGTCAGGGAGGACGGACAGGTCAAGGGGGTGGGATGAAGTTAGTAGGTAGGAGGTGGGAGGAAGGACAGATTAGGGAGGCGGGGACGAGCTGGGCTGGTTTAGGGATGCGGTAGGGGGGAGATTTTGAAGCTTGTGAAATCCACATTGATACCATTGGGCTGCAGGGTTCCCAAGCGGAATATAAGTTGCTGTTCCTGCAACCTTGTGGTACTGCAGGAGGCCCAGGATGGACATGTCGTCTGAGGAACGGGAGGGGGAGTTGAAATCGTTCGTGACTGGGAGGTGCAGTTGTTTAGTGCGAACCGAGCGTAGGTGTTCTGCAAAGCGGTCCCCAAGCCTCCGTACTAGGGATATGTTTTTGACAACTAATTGCAATCATTGACTGTTTTGCTATTGTTACAATACTGATATTGGCCTAACAACGTGCAGAATTGCACAGGTCTGTCTGGTCCATTTTAAGGAAAGTTGATGAAATTCAATTGAACAATTGCTGTCCCAATTGAATAATTGCTTTCCCATTGACTAGAAATATAGCAGGAAATGAATACTGTGGTGACAAGATTAAATCTTACGCAGAAATTTCTGCAGTATCTAACTAACTTGACTCCTTAAAGCCTATCTACCATCTTAGAAGGCACACCAGGTGTGTAATTAAATCCACTTGTCTTACAGTTCCAATAATAATCAACACATCCTATTTGATGGTTACCCTGTTCAATTACTGGCTCACAGTTGCAGCTGAGTGTGCAATCCAGAAAACGCATTGCAGCAACTCTGACTTGTTCAATAGATCTTGCTAAACCTGCAGCCTTGATCTTGATCTTGAACTTGTAGCAGGACAAGAATAGCAAACCCATCAAATGCCTACCACCTCCAAATTCCCCCCTCTGTCTGTCTGTCTCTCTCTCAATCCTGAATTGAAATTGAAATTGAAATTGAAATCCTGAAAATGCTATTTCTTCACTGTGTCAAAAAGCAGGGATCTCCTTCTGAATGTGTTGTTGGCCTGCTTAGACCAAATGGATTGCCATGGTTCAGGAACCCCCTCCAGGACATTGAGTAAAAGGCAACAGATGTCGTCTTGCAAGCTGAATTGCATTCCCGTGAAGGAACAAAACACATTGTGACTGTGGCTGTGACTGGGTCAGAGGCAAGAATTGCATTGAGAGTGATTAAGCTTCTGATTACCCAATGCCAGGCCAACCTATACAAGGAGTACGCCTGAATGAAATGCTATTCTATCATTTTCAAGAAACTTGACACTGTGCTACCACCACCATGTCAGTGGTATGTACCACTTCTAGCATTCACTGCAACACCATGCCAAAGCTCCTTTAAAGAACACCTTGCAGATTCATGACCGTATCTACTTTCAAGCTTGAGCAGCTGCAAAGGAAGCACTGTGTAGTTTCCTCAAACCAATCGCCATTCCATTGCTGTGGGTATATCTGCAATTCACCAAGATAGCCAGGCCAGTTTAAAAATAGGCAATAAATTCTGGCCTGTAAACAATGTGCTCATCACTTAAGTCAATGTTTTAAACAAATCTTTTGGGCCTCCTGCAGTGCCACAACGATGCCACCCGAAGGTTGCAGGAACAGCAACTCATATTCCGCTTGGGAACCCTGCAGCCCAATGGTATCAATGTGGATTTCACAAGCTTCAAAATCTCCCCTCCCCCCACCACATCCCAAAACCAGTCCAGCCCGTCCCCGCCTCCCTAACCTGTTCTTCCTCCCACCTATCCCCTCCTCCCACCTCAAGCCGCACCTCCATCTCCTACCGACCAACCTCATCCCGCCCCCTTGACCTGTCCGTCCTCCCTGGACTGACCTATCCCCTTCCTAACTCCCTACCTACACTCCCCTTTACTGGCTCCATCCCCACCTCTTCGACCTGTTTGTTTCCTCTCCACCTATCCTCTCCTCTATCCCTCTTCTATCCGCCTCCCACTCTCTCCCTATTTATTTCAAAACCCCCTTCCCCTCCCCCTTTTCTGATGAAGGGTCTAGGCCCGAAACGTCAGGCTCTCTGCTCCTATGATGCTGCTTGGCCTGCTGTGTTCATCCAGCCCTGCACCTTGTATAAATCAATGTTAGCTTGCAAGGGCTGATGTTGAGGATTGATGACAGCTTTGAAAAGAAGGCAGAAACACCTGAGGAGAGCCACCAACTTACAATTTCAGCCAGTAACTGATTAGCAAAGGAATTTGTAATGGTGTAATGTTGAGATAAGCTTGGGTGTTGAAAGGGAGAAGTTGACAGAAGCTAGAGAGAGACAGGTACAGAGATTTTTAACTTGCAAGTGCAGCATCTGCAGTCCATCCTTAATTATTGACCCCACTGGAGCTCAGCAGAAATAATGTTTTCACCCCTGTTTGTTCCTCTCTTTGGCTGTTTCTAAACAATATGTAGCAAAAATGTATGGATTTTCATGTCACTTGGTATACAGGGTTTGGTCCAAGTAAAAAAACTAGTTGGTTTTTGTTAAAGATGCAGATCAGAATCATAATTCTGAAATTGCTTGAAAGGACCCATTAACATTGGTTAATGGGGGTAAATTGATTTTAAGCATACTCTGGGTTTTATGTAAAATATTTTTTAGCATGTGCTTTGTATTGCACTTGACAAAATATGAATAAAATTTTCAGAGCAGGGTTTTGGATGTACATTGACTTGATGCTACCTCTGGTGAGATGCTGACACTTAAAAAACACTTTTGAATAGTTATCAAGGCAGGGTAAAGTAAAGAGGAAGAACAATTTGCTTCATGGTAAAAACATTATGTAAGCATTGGAGTTATGCACTGAGTTTTCTGTTCTCTTGCTGCTCTTGAGAAGGTGATGGTAGTTTCCTCCTTGAAATGTGATGGAAGTGCACCCACAAGCTACTCTGAATGGAGTGCCACAACAATAGGGACCCTGGGAGAAGCAGCCAAGGCTGATCAGATCTCGTTACTGTGAGTCAGGATGTCATTCATAACCTCACCGACAAATTCAAGGAGTTTAAGATGGCTTTATGCTGATCGTAAGTAGTGAAGAATCCAGGGGTGCATGTTTGTCCTTCGGGATAATTCTGAAGTCTGTCAATGTATTTTTCGAAGAGTGAGACCTGATGTTACAAAAACAGCTTTTCCTAGAAAAGCTGGGCAGGTCTGGCAACATCTGTGAAGAAAAATCAGTTCTGAGGAAGGGTCAATGGATCTGAAATGTTAATTCTGATTTTTTTTTTTTTTTCTTCACTAATACTGCCAGACCTGCTGAACTTTTCCAGCAACTTCTGTTTTTCTTCCTGACTTACAGCATCTGCGGTTCTTTTGGTTTTTGAGACCTGATGGTGTTTTGTTGTGGCGCAGTTAAATCTAGTGCTGGACAAGCAGACCAGTTAATGTTCAGATTACGCAGATCTACCTCTTCCATTTATGGAAATGAAAAATGTTACTGAGGGATTGTGGACAGTTGATGGGATTGCTGAAGAAAAGCTGACTGCTCAAGTATAATGGAGAAGTGTTAGTAATTTTTAACCCACAATGGGAATTTTTTTTTCCTGAAGAGTTGAGAGGGAGCAATTCCCCAGTCTAGTGTTATCTTAAAGATTCGAGCTGGGACCAATGCTCTAGCAAAAAAAGGTAAATAGGGTGGTCAACATTTCTTTTAAAGTAAAGGTCAGGGGGAAGGGAAGGATAAAACTCCAAGAAGTATGATGACTAATGGGAAACAAAGCAGCAGGTTAACATCTCTGCAGGTGGATTCAACTGTGTGGGAAAAGTATTTTAAAAAAAGAACTCCAGAGAGGTTATTCAAGTCTCTAGAACACAAAATAGGACAGTGTTTGGAAAGGGTTAGGAATGTAACTTCAAGCACATCTGATAAAGGGATGGCAATGAAAAGAAGGACGGTAAACACAGGACTGAAGGTGTTGTGCCTGAAATTGGCAAGTATGATGTGGTGGACATCAGATGTGGCTGTAGGAGATCAGGACTGGGAACTAAATAATCAAGGATATACATCCTATCAAAAAGGTAGGTAGGTAGGCATGGGGAGTGGGATTGCCTTATTAGTAAGAAATGAAATTAAATGAAGAGCGAGAAATGACTTGGGGTCGGATGATGAATCTGTGTGGGTGAAATTGAGGAACCACAAAGGTAAAAAGACCGTAATAGGACTTTTGTACAGGCCTCCAAACAGTAGTCAGGATGTGGGGCACAAGATCATGTCTTTTCTATCTCGTGGAGTAAGAAAGATGAAGTTAGTGATCAAGGGGGATTTCAATATGCAGGTGGACTGGGGAAAAAAGAGTTGGTAGTGGATCGCATAAAAAGAAATTCGTGGAATGTCTGAGATGACTTTTTGGAGCAGCCTGTTGTGGAGCCCGTTAGGGAGTTGGCAATTCTGGATTTAGTGATGTGCAGTGAGGCAGATTTGATAAGGATTCCTTTCACCTTGAGCTCCCTTGGGAGGCAGTGACCATAATATGA